AAAAAAAAAAACGATCTGTGGGAAAAAAAATACGTAAAACACAATGTACACCAATTTTTGGATACATCTCAATAAACTGTTGATGATACCTATTGATGTCATAGACCTTTTTAATTGCGTTTGTCATATTTTTTAAGCACTCTATTATGTATTATTATAAAATTTGCAACAGAACCACCACAAAATCTATTGCATAACCGGTTACGGGAAAACACAAAAACTACTGAATAACAAAAACAGACTATTCACGAAGTACTGTTGACAAACTTGTTCCACAGTAATTACTAGAATTGCTCTACTTAAAAAACTAGCCCTACCTCAAAAGTACAATTTTACACATTCCATTGCATGGTCAGCATTTTTTACAGACAATGTTGAAAATTCTATCCTCTGGTAATTAACAGCATATGTATATATATTCATCATGACCTGCAAAATATTTACTTTGTACTTTAAATTCCTGAATGAAGTTGTAAGTGAAATTGTGAGTAAAGAGTACCATTTTTTAAAAGTTAAAGTTAAAAGTGAAAGTATTTTGTTACAATAACTTGAGCAAGGTTTCACAATAAAATACTTAAGTAAATTAAGGACATTAACTCAAGTATTTTCCATCCCTGCAGTTATGCAAGTGAGTGCTTTTTTTGCTGCCATTGCTGCTTTGATAATGTATGGGTTTAAAGATTCCCATTAATTCTGAATAAGGAAGATAAAATACAAATATTTTTCTTAATTATTCATTTCACCTTAATTTTAAAAATCTGATTCATTTCCCTCATATTACTTATACAACTAATTACCCAGAAGTGTAATCATTTAAAATGATCTGTTTTAGTACAATACTTGAAATTGTATTACCATTATTACATGAATACATCTCTCTCAATGCAATTATCTGTGCTAATACAATCACCCCTGGAGTATTTTTTCCTCTTTTTTTCTTCTGTGTTGTCCTCCAGTGGGTCATTGCCATCCAGATGTGGTTGAAGCAGGAGCAAAGCAAATGGAGCTTCTCAACACCAACTCTCGCTTCCTACATGACAATCTGGTCCTGTATGCTCAACGTCTCCAAGCCACTCTTCCTGAAAAGCTCTCTGTGTGCTACTTTGTCAACTCAGGGTAGGCCTGTGAGCTCATTCTCAGACATACCACCTGTTTGCGCTAAAGGAATGCTCAATCACCCCACTGAGCAGATAAGCAGTTACTGTTTATTTTTGTAAACAGAAGAGCCAGATATTTTGTGTACTTCTCTGGTCATGTAGACTAGCATGCAGCCCAGATGTTGTAATTACTGATTGTTGGCTGGACAGCTTAATGCTTATTGCTGACTAGGTAGCACTTTTTTGTTTTCACTGTTGAAGGCAGCCACTTGATAACCAAGTCCCAGGATCGACTATTCTGTTTTGACATCTAGGTCTGAGGCAAATGATCTGGCCCTGAGGTTGGCCTGGCAGTACACCGGCCACAAAGACATCATCACACTAGAGAAGTAAGTCAACAACACACTGTCTGTGCCTCCACTTTCTCTGCGCTGGGATCTAAACAGTTACCAATTTCTTAGAAGCATGAAGCTCACAGCTTAAATATTAACTTAATCTTACGTCTTGTATCTAGACATACTGTGTTTTGCTTATGGATATGCATACTAGTCAGCATCTGCCTTGGAATGCTAAATCTTGCTGTGTAAAAGAATGCATCACCTGGTCTTTGGGTTTCATTTAAATGAATGCCATATCCCATGTCAAATATTGCATGTGATGTATTGCTGCTGCTTTTTTTTTCTGCACCACATTTTACACTGATAAGTGAAAGAAGCATTAGAAGATTAGATAACCTATGCCCTCTCAAACATAGTGGAACTTTGTTCTGTTGATTCTTGCAAATATTTCAATCAGTGTGCTTCCCCTGCAGTGCCTACCATGGTCATGTGTCATCGCTCATTGATATCAGTCCATATAAGTTTCAGCAGATGGCTTGTGCAGAGCCAAGCCAACATGTGCACGTGGTGAGTGTTGCAACATGAGACATTTGACATATTGGATTTGACATACGGTCACATGCACAAAGGGCTCAGACACTATTCTTGAATTCAAAAACTGTTCAGAGGTGGTCAACTAATATTGTGCAGCCCAACTTCTAATGCCTCTTTCTGGTTTTCAGCATTTATTTGATCAAAAATACAGCAAAACAGTAATATTGTGGAAATATTAATGTAAAATAGCTGTGTTTTCTTCGTGAAATGTTGTTTATTCCTGTGATAGCAATTTTCAGCAGTCATTAGTCCAGTCTTAAGTGTCACATGATCTTTTAGAAACTTTAGAAATAATTACAATATGCTCATTTGGTGCTCAAGTAACATTTCTTGTTTCTTAACTTCTGTGCTGCTCTCCTATATATATGCAATGACTTGAATACATGGGCATGTATTTCATTTCTTAATTAAAATTAGTTTTTGATAATTTGGGGGGCATAATATGTCATGTTGATATTAATGTCTTTATCTCACAATGAAGAAAAATTTAATTCTTAAGGAAAAAAACTTTGACCTTTTAATGGCATGGCAAGTAAAGGAGTAATTCACCTCAAAAAATGGAAATTCTGTCATTACTTACTCACCCTCATGTCATTCCAAACCTGTATGAGTTTTTTTCTTATATTGAACA